CATCAGAAAAAATGAACAAACTCATCCTTTCTCGGGCTTAGGAGAATCTGGATACCAAGTTTGGTTATTCTAGCTCCTATACTTTCTGAGATCATTGCGTTCATACAGACAGACAGACAAACAGACGGACAGATTGACGGACATGGCTATATCGACTCAGCTTGTCATTCTGATCAAGAATATATATACTTTGTGGGGTCTGCCACGCCTCCTTCTGTGTGTTCCATGTACACTCGCACAAAACTAATATAACCTTTTACCCTTTGGGTACAGGGTATAAAAATGTCAAAACTATTATAAAATTAAATAGTTGTCCAACCAGATCTTAAAAAAAGATTAAAGATTTACAAAACAAAAAAGATTCTATTGATGAAAGAATACAAACATCAAAAAAGGATTTCGAAATAACATAAATATTTATTTATTTGTTTCTTTGGATTAAGCATTTGAAAAACTCAATAATAAATCAACAAACAAAAATAGCACAACACATTTATTTATTTCGTTCTTGTAACTCTAATTTCGAATTGACTTTTAAGCAAAGCTTGGTAACTGTGCGCAACTTTATCTATGCGAACCACATTGTTTATATACGAGCATACATACATACGTATATTCCATACATATATACATACATACATATGTATGTACTTACAAAAAGCGCTATATCGTCAGCGTTCGTGCCTTCCTGCCAGCCTGCGTCGTACTCAGCGCTCATTTAATATGGAAGTCACAGAATGTGAGCTAATTGAAAGCACTTGCAATATTTATAGGCAGCGCAACATGTTGCACAAGCACTTGACTCTGACTGACTGACTCAGTACGACAGGGCATGGCAACATGTTGCTGAACTAATAAAACAACGAAATGATTTTATTATAATGGATTTATAACTCGACAACAAAGCGAACGGGACGACACACAAGAGAGCGGGCCCAGGCCCTGCTCTCTTGTTGTGCGAGCGTGCTTGTATGGGTATTTGTGTGCGTATGTGAGTGTGCGATTGCTGTGTAGCAATAAAAATGCAGTTTTGAATTGAGGCGCGTTAGTGGTGGTGTCGGTGTCGGCGGCGGTGGCGGCGGCAGTGGCAGTCCATTAAGCCCATGTTGTTGTCAGCATTTAATGCTTTTGTGCATATTTGCCTCATGCGACCTGACAGACCGAGTGTGTGTGTGTGACTGTGAGTGTGTGCGAGCGAGTGAGTGACTGAATGAGAGTACATTTAGCTTTGACTTTGCGTGTGCGCATTTGTATCTTCCTCGTTGCCTTCAACTCGAATAAAGCAGCAACATAAATGCGTCCCTACAGTCACCCGAGCGAGAAGGGACGACGACGACAAAGGACGACGACTTAAGTGGAAATATTTATAATAAGTTTATTTACTTGTACTGTTTATTGCGAGTTCAACTCTGGCAGCACATGTTGCTGCCAGCTGATCCCCAACATGTTGCTAGCATGCTGCTTCGTTACTCGTTTGCCGCTTATGGGACCCCAATTTACAATCACATTCACAGTTGTAAATTGGCGTTTTGCGTTAACGACGTGTTGTCGTCGTCTAGCGTATCGTGTATTTTGGCTCGTTTCACGTCAATTTCGTTTATTGAAGCGCGCGCGTGTTTCTTGAACTCCCGCCGACCGATTCGCTAGCAAAAAGTAAGGCAATATCTTTGCTCGTAATATTTATTAATGCATGTTTATATACATACATACATACTTACACATTATAAATACATACAGCCACACACAGCGCGCCCGCCCAACTTCTTATGTCCGTTTCTGCCTTCTATGGTCCGCTGCCCCCTTCCTTCTTCTTCGTGTGAGAGTGAATTAAAATTGCTTCATCTTCTTTGCAACAGCAATGGCAACGGCTGCAGCATCAGTCTTCCTCTTTTTTGTGGCTCATCATCATCATCATCATAAATAAATATGTATATATGTATGTTTGTACATACAATATTTCATATTTGCAGTTATTTTTAGTTTGATGCTCCGTTGCGACTTCTCCAATGCTTCCCCTTACCTTTGCTTTCCACGAGTGGTTTCTCTTTTTAAAATGCAAGTGTGCTGCTGGGGAGTGTGAGTGTGTGTTTGTGTGTGCGTGTGTGTGTTTCGGCCGCTGCCCTTTTCCCTTTTCCCTTCTCAACATCAATACAATTTGCTTTGGTGTACATTTAAATGAGCAATCATTGCGCAGAGTGCTCTTGCTGTTGTGTTGCTGCTGCTGTTGCTGCTGCTGTTGTTGTTATTATGGCTTTGCTAATGATGTTTGTTTGGGTCGTCGCTAACGCCTGCACTGATTTTGCTTCTGTTGTTCTTGTTGTTATTTTTGTAAGAGTTCATTGAGTTCACAGTCGGTGGATTTTGTGCTTTTCCTACGCCATTAATTAACCCATTAGCGTTGGCCAATTTTCTGCGATATAATGATGACAACTTCATTGAATAGATAAATAGATATGTACATACATATGTATATTTATTGGATAGATATATTCATGTATTTGCTTATTGAAAACTGTTGCAGACTTAAACCTCCCTCAAACTAGCTCTATAGGTATGATCTATCCAAATGGTCAGCTCAAATCTTCTCTGTCCACAGTGTTGAAAAATAGGAGTATTTTCTGGAAAACCTTCTTTTCGAAAAGCCTACATTCTAAGGTACAAACACATACAAATAAGTCGTTTCTTTCGATTTTCCGTTGTCAACAGTTTGACAAAAAAAAAAAATAAAATACATTTTTAGAATTTTAATTTAAAAATATGGTTTATTTCTAATTAAGTGGATAATGGATACGCACAAACTAATAAGCCAATTTCTGTGAACAAATAAAATGAATTAAGCTTTAGTTTCTGGTCAACATATGTATGTACATATGCACATATGTACATAGCTCCTTATCAAATAACTGACATGAAAGAGAAAAGGCTCATTTATGTATGTACATATATGAGACTATTTTAGGATACCCGGTGAGCTTCGTTGGTCTTGTTAGATCAAAATAGTATGTAATATAAGATTCTTGCTCACATTTTGCTCATATATACATATGTACATAGTTTAATAATAGAAAACCATTCTATCTGACTAATAAGCTTTAACAACAATGTTGACAAAACGTTAATGTGCACTACATACGAATAGGTATTGCTCGTAGAACCTGCAGTCTTATTTTAAATACACATACTATAAACTGTATGAACAAAACACCAACGTATGTACATATGTATGTATGTATATAGTATATACAATAACAAATTTGCAGTTGTACCGCTGAGCTGCTTAGATGACTAATTTGCAAGGCGCTCAAGCAAAGCCGAATTGCACAATAAACAATAAACGCTTTGTGCCAACAGCAACAGCAGCAAGAACAAAAACAATAAGCAGGCAATGGTATACAATTCTCAGGAAATGAAATTATACACCCATTATTGCAGAAACAGCAAACGGACCAATAAAATAATCCAAAGAGATACATACATAAACAGAAAAACGAAACCATTAAAGCATTTCGTTTAAATGCAGCAGTCGAAAGAAATTAGAAAACTATACGGCCCTAGGCCAACAGCAAACTCACTCAAATGAAATCGTAATAATTAATCAAATAATAAATCTCAGTGAAAAGAGCGCAGCATATGCCGCTTAGCAAACAATTAAGAAAAAATAAAAGACACAACCGGGGAACGACAAAAGGCATAGCTATAGCAAAAATAATAGCAACAACAACAACGGCACCAGCACCAGCAATAAAAAGCAATGGAAAGCCAGTGGCTCAGCATTAATTAGCGTTAAACGCCGACATCGCTGCCTCAGCCGCCAGACGCGCCAAACAAAAATACAAAGTGAGCGGTAAAAACAACAGCAACAACAACTCCCCAGAGCAGCGCACAGCATCCGCCAACTTATTAAAGTACATATAACTCAATTATAGAGAATTAAAAACAAACGACGACGGCAACTACATTGGCAATGCAAAAGATACTCACACACAGATATACACACACACACACTGGCAGCAACACGTACACAGTGAGATGTCGTTGTCAGTGAAGCACGCCAGATATGCGCAGCACCAACAGCAACAATCAGAGCTATAAAACACATTCAGCACTTAATAACCAACAAGCGCCGCAAATAGGAAAAGTATCTCGGCAAATTTGCAAAAGCTTAAGCACAGCAACATAACAGCAGCATGTTGCACAACACCCGGCAGCAACATGTTGCGAGTGTCGCTTGCGCACAAATTATGAGTTCAACAACAGCCGAGATACTAAATTAATAGCATTTCTGCTGCTGCTGCTGCTGCAATATGAAAATTGCTGTTTTATTGCCGTGCGATATGTTCACGTGCTGCGTGACCGACGTCTGTCTGTGTCTGTGTCTCGGTGTGCGCGTGTGTGTGTGTGCGAGAGAGCAACAACAACAATAATAAGAATAACATTTGAAGGCGCGCACACTCATACACCATAATTGTAATTATAGTAATATGTTTTATGATGGTTGCTGGCTCGCTTGGCCACCAACAACCCCCACACACAAATGAGAGCAAGACGCAACGCTGGCTGCGACGCAGCCGTCAGCAAACAATTTGAACAAAATGTATCTAGATACATAATTGCCACATTCAGTCGTCGTTAAATAGTTGCACGGCACAGTCACAGTTCACACACAAACACACGCACACTCACACACACATACAAATAACGAACCCAAGTGGCGGCAAGAGCACCAAAAGCAACAACAGCAATCAGCAACAAGCAACCAGCGACCGACCAGCAACACAAGCGGCAGCAACAGCCAGGCCAGACACATCGAACCGTCGCGACGGTCGTGTTCGTCGTCGTCGTCGTCATCGTCGTCGTAGCCGTAGCCGTAGTCGTTAACTGTGCGTGTGGCTGATTCTGTGTCCGTGTCTGCGACTGCGTCTGTATGTGTGTTTCTGTGTGTTTGTGCTTTATAGCGTTCACAGTGAGAAATTGTTCAGAATCGTTGGCGTCGTGGTCGCGCTTGGTTTCGGTATCGGATTGTCGGGCCATTTAACTGAAATTGCTAGCGTCATCGTTGATGATATAAAAGACCACGGCGATATACATATGCAGAATAACAGCAACAACAACAACAACTGCAACAACAGCAACAACAGCAAGCGCCGCCTTAAAGTCAATTATAATTTACGCGCGCGCGTTGGCGTTGCGAGCAACAGCAGCAACAGAAACAACAACACCACCACCATCAACAGCAATAACGACAACAAGCTTATTATAAATGTAATAATAATGGGCCGCATAGATATTCTATAGAATTAGAACGACCTCCCGCTGGTCTGTCAGTCGTCGACGCGACAGCAAAGAGCCCAAAGTGTACTATTTTAATTAAGTGTGCTAAGTGTGTGTATGAGTGTGTGTGTGTGTGTGTGTGTTTGCGACAACAATAAGAGCAACAACAAAGTCAAGTCAACGCATGCATGAGTATCTGTGTTATTCCTCCTGTGCTTGTGTGCGCTTGTGTATCCATTAGTCACACATGAAACTAATTAGCATTTGCCTGTTTGTTATTGTCGCATTCGCCAAAAGTGATTTCTTGCCACAAGCAGAAAGAAGAATAAAACGCAAAATTAGCGCAAAAGTGGCAACAACAATGACAACGACAACGACAACGACAACAACAATTATAGAACATATTTTGTACATGTGTATGTATGTTTGTATGTATGTAAATACCATATAGACAGACATACAGCCAGACAGACAGACACACTCGCCTTTTTATGACTTTGGAATTTTCATTAATTTGTTTATTTTTGTGCGACGCTTTCGCGATGCGGCTTTTAGCGTTTTCTTCTTGCATTGCTGTTGTTGATGTTGTTTTATTTTTGTACACACCGTCGGTAATCAGCAACGAAATGGACACAATTATCTTCATCATCATCAACAACAACAATAACAATCAACGGTGGCGCTAATTGCCGCCGTGAGTTGGCGCATGTATCTGAAAGATGTTTTTCGCAAGCCTCTTGGTGCAAATTGCTGGACGGCATCGCTGCCGCATATTGTTGTTCCTATTGTTGTTGTCGATGGCGCTAACTTTTGCCATGCGCAGCTTCGATCTCCTCTGTTACCCACTTCGCCGACCCGCTCCCGAAACTGTGCCTCATCTGTCTGTCTGTTTGCTCGCTTGGTTTGCACGCATCGCTCTGCCAATTTGTCACACGACGTGTTGACAGGTTACGCAGCCGCACTGTGGCCCGCCTTTGGCAGCAGCAACAACAATAGCCATCGACTCTTTCTGGACTCGCCTTGTTACTGTCACACCGTAATTGCTTTTATTTGTGTTGCTATTTTTCAGCAATCTAATAAATAAATTATGAGCGAGTGCGAAAAGGAAATTTATTTTCACAAACAAAAATACTTCAATTACTCAATTAAATTCACTTTGGCCAGAGACGGTGCCCGCCGAGGTGTACAATATAAGGCCGACTCGTTCTTGGTGCATGTCTGTGTGTGTGTGTGTGTGTGTGAATGTATGAGTGTGTGTATTACAAATTGAAGTCCATTTTATGAGCGACGCGTCGAACGATTGCTGCTGGCCCGTGTGTTTTCGCATCGCATTAATTACGTCGACGTTCATAATTGTTTTCGCTTTCGCAATACGCGCATATTAATAACAACTTAAAAATAAATAACTATATAAAATGCCAAATTGCTTTTTTAGCCCAAAAGTTCAAGTTTTAATTGTCGGAACGTGCAAAACGCTAATTAAACTAAACAATTAAATAAGCGTAATTAATTTAAATGGCATGCACAAACAGCAACAGCAACACGAAATAAGTGTGTGAATTTGACATGTGAGCTAATCGAATTGCCGTCGGAAAACTCAAAATGTGAATATATGTGAAAAAGTGCAAATTTTCAAAAGCGTTTAACTGCTCTACATTCATACATGTATCTGGGCACATTTGATCACTGGGTGTCGATAATCTCTGACAATATACGCTTCCAAACTATTATGCATGTGTGGTAACACTAACGGTACTTAGGCGCACGAAATGTTTTTCCAAATTTCAATCAGAACGCAGTTATGACAGTATCCCATTGACAGTTAACATTGACATTAGAAAATGAGGAACTTGTAAAATGTCATTCTAAGCCAAAAATGTGTAAGGCAATTTCTAAAAGAAACTTATTGGCGGTTGTCTGAGGCTAGTCAGTGTGATCTAAAATCTATAACCGACATTTTTAATAATTTTTTTTATCACCTGTGCTATGGGTGCTTGAATTGGTGGAACAGCATCATAAAAAGCGCCTTCCATTAGAGCCCAACATTTATAGAACAAATTGTTTTTATTTTTCTACCAAAAATGTGGGCTGTTTTGATCTTGTTGGATGGTGAATTATTATGTAATAGAATAAAAATATCTAGTTTCCTGTTTCCCTCACGAATGATGTACAATTTCTGAATAGTATTCTTCATTGACGGTTTTTTGTGTTACAACTTGCTTGTGCAAAATGCCCATGGAAAAATTAAAAATTATGTCCATTTGAAAATTTGCTTAAGTTTTTGGTCGTTTTTCGACTTTTATTCTGCAAATTGTCGCGTGATTTCAGGATTATCATAAGCTTCTTTATTAAAAAGTCATAAGTCTCGAAAGCAAAACGAATAGTTCCTCTGTTTTCCATTATGTTTTACGACTACAAAACAAAAACTACTTTTTGGCTGTTCGAAAGAAGGAAAATGTATCTTTCTAATTCGGATTTGAATTAAAAGTTCAGTTATTTTTAGATCGCACTGTATACTACGTACCTCATTTTACGCTGATTTGATTGATTTTTCGTAAACAATTTGCACAAATTTGCAATTAAAATGTAATTGTTTTGAAATGTCAATGTAAATGCAATAAATATGTTGAGAGCATAAAGCAATTTTAATGTTTCGCCACATTTTTAATATTTGAGCGAAGCTGACAGTTAAATTGAAACGAACACAAGACGGACAGCAACAGCAACAACAACAACAGCAACAACAACAGCAACAAAAACAGCAACAACAATGACAACGACAGGCCGAGGACAGCCGCACACTTATTATTGCTGCACAAATAAATAAAAGCATTTAATTAAATCAAAAACATTATACGCGCACACACACACACACATATACATATATCTATGTATATACTACAATGGACTGCCAATTATGAAACCAGAACAGAGTTAAAAATAAATTGAATTAAAACCTAAATAAATGAACAGCCAACCCATGTGCGGGCAGGCAATAGAAAATTGTGCAACCAATAAGAAAAAAAATAAACATTGTATGCAAATTAATTTCAAAACAAAATAAGTAGAAAAAAATGCCGAAATAATAATCAATAATTGCCAAAGTGCGGGCTAATGAATTAATTACATTTCATTAAACTTCCTTTCATGCGCTTTATGCTGCTTTTCGGCAACAATTTGATTTTATTTCTGTTTAAATTTTTTATCACAACAACCGCCGTTCCGATTTTTTTACTTGGCGCTTTTGTTGTGCAACAATTTAATTAAGTAAAGTGGATTAATTTGCAACTCGTTAGACTAATTAAGGATTATAATCAACAGCCACAGCCACAACCAGCGCGCCGGAATAGAACATGCACACACAGTGCCACCTAAATGTATGCGTACAGTTCCTGCAACGGCAATTAAAGCGGTCGCGTACCACTGCCGCTTAAACAGTCCGTTAAAAGAGCAAGAAAAAGCAAGTAAACAACAATAAAAGTACTAAAGTGTGTGTGTGAAAGTAAAATGCAATTGCAATTAACAACAACATCAGCGTATCGTGACCTTTGAGAAGCAAGCTTAAAAGCAGCCCACATACTTATATATACGAGTATACTACGCACACAAGAAAACACACGCAAGCAAGCACACATCGGTGGATGAAAAAAAAGTAAAATACTTAATTGGATTTTTTTAACACTCAACCCCTCCTCGGATTTTGGACACATGTGCGGCACACACACGTCCATTTAGCACTCCACGATTTCCATTGAGGTAAGCGTCGCAGTTAACATCCATTAAGTATTTACAGAGCCAGCCACAGTGGCACGACATCGAATCAATGTCAAAAGGACTCCTCTCTGATAGTTGCCATTGAAGAAATAACTTCGTGAATATGTTTTGTAAATGTTTTTATTATTGGGCGACCATATGTTACTGCAATGTTCAACACCACGTTCGGATATAGACTCCAAATCCTGCCAAACTGTTATTATCTATACAGAAAACGTTTCGATATGTCCGGCTTCATTCTGCAGAATCGACAGATATCGGTTTTTGAAAGGTTCATCCTCTAGATCTAATAGATATCCATTTTTCGAGTTGTTCCTTCCTTAGGAACGTCAGCTTTTCACTGAATAGCTATATACTCCTGATATTTTTCATAATGGGTGCCTTGAATAGTTTGCAGAATGGCTCTAGTTCGATCTGGGCGATGGGCGACCTTATAAAGGGAACTTTGTTGGTTTTCCCGACAAATCAAAGACATTTGTCCATAGTAGGGGAGAGAGTACAGCCCCTTATGGGCATTCTCCAATACACTTTTGAACCCTTTTCTTACACTTTCCAGCTTGAAATGCATATCTATGAGAAGTGTTATGGGATTTCCTCTCTACTTTGCTGATCACACGATAAACCCAAATCATTTGTTAGCTAATTTATTTTACTATATTTTATGTACATTATACATAAATTCATATATACGTATATATATATGTTGTACATACTTCTTATATATATATATATATATGTATATCATAGATTATAACGATGAACTGAATCCATACCTTTTACCCCAAATTAGTTTTGAGCAGAACTGCTGTTTATTAAATCTGAACGATGCTTATCACTTCTCGTTAGTGGGTTAGTATGGATAGAAGATTATGCTGACACGTAAGCGCATAACGGGTACCAGATGTAATTTCTTAGTGCGTCTACTGCATACCCACTACGTTATGATAAGGGGGACCTACACGAAGGTCGAAAAATGTTGGGCTCTTTGGCTTTAACTAATGTGATAAGCCACGCCAAGCCGTCATCTAAAATTTACAGCGCAGTATGTTCGCATCAATTCCTGGAATTCCCCACTAATTTGTTTACCAAATTGTTTTTTCAATGCCCTAGGGCAAGGGCTAGGCAACCTATTTCAATAAATATACATATGTAGTATGTATAATCATCCAGCAAGCAAATCAACTCAAATATCACTTTTAATCTCAATTAATCAAAATATTGAGAACAATCTAGGGAAAAGTTTTTCTTCGTAATCTGAAATTATTTTGATTTAATAATATTCGCAATACTTATTGATAATATTCTCAACAACTTAATATATTTTTTAAATTTTTATCGAGGGACATGTTATATTTGATTAGAAGGGATCTTAAATCTAAAAGTGGAAGTAAAAATCAGTGGATATTTTAAGTAAAATAAATTAAATAGTTTCCTTTGCACGATGTTTCTATTTTCACTAATTTATTTAAGATAGGGGTTGGAAATCTACCGAAACTTGACAAATTTAATTACAAATTAATGTAGGTTGTCAGGCCGCAGAGCAATTCTTTTGATTATGCAAATTATTAAAGCCGAAAAAAATATTAATTCGCCTTTAACGTGGTTATTTTATATACATAGCCACAATAGGCCGCTGTGTTTGTTATTGAACCTATCTCAACTAAATAAATATATATTAAATACATATGCATTGGCGGGAAATTAAGCTAAATCAGACTGATAGCTCCCATATGAATGTTTAGATTTGAATGAAGTCTTCCCAAGGTAGTTTGTTTTAAATATGAATGAATGGTACTTATATGTTATACTTGCACAAAAATATGTTCTTTTTCTTTTCAGTGGGGATAGGATATTGTTGTTATTGATTAATTAGATAATTGTTACTTTTTGGACAATTTGTATTTTGCAAGATTTTAAAGAAGATTATTTGCCTTCGAATATGGTTTGCTACGGCGTGTTGATTCTGTGCCAATGGCATTGCAATTGTTATTGACATATAATTAATTTCAATTACATGATGATGTTGCGCATTTGATGTGCCCTGCTGTTCCCGTCGTTGTTGTTGTAACAACTGTTGTTGTTGTTGTTGCCGCTGCTATTGATGACTATGTGAAAATTGTTAAACTCGCACTCGCACTCAATTCAAAGCTGAACGCGGCGCAGTCAACACACCTTACGTCAGCAATATGACATTTATAATTACATACACAAACAGTTGTACATATGTACATATCTAGGTATGTACGAGTACATATGAATGTACTACATCTGTATATGTATTTACTATGTGTATGTATGTATTTGCAGGAATACATACATACGTAGATAAAGTGAGACACAGAAATGCGAATTTGAAATCGGAAACTCGCAAACGGTTGCAACTATTTTGAAAGTAAACAAATGCCTCAGCTGATGCACAAATAAGTACGATTCATTTTAACAGCAACTGTGCACAGAGCGAACAAATTATCAATGGGCGCACAGATGAAAGGCAATCTATAATTATGGCAAAGCATGGCGGTGGTGTAGATACATACTCAGATATGAGTACGAGTATGCGTGCGATAGCTTCACATAATTTGCCTCAAATGATGGCAATAAAGGGACGAAAAATTACAACAACAACAACAACAGCAGCAACAAAATACAACAACAACTAATATAATGACAAACAACCTAAATTGCGCCTGGGCTGTCGCGTAGCAAAACCCCCTCTTCCCCAAAGTCTCTGGCACATATGTATGTATGTATCTAGACCGAGATATTGTATCTATCATGCCGACTGTCGCAACTATACACACACACACACACGCACACACACACATGCACACACACACATGCCTTGGCAATTGATACGTTTTGATGTCTAGCAATTAACGTTGTCTGTCTGCCCCCCTGCGTGCTCCGACTACGACCTGACCGACTGTGCCATTTCAAAGTTATCGCTGAGGCTTTTAATAGAGTGTCAGGCATATTATGTATGCATAATTGTAAAGCAACAACAACAACAACAACAGCAACGATGGAAAACGATACAAAAATGCCTGCTGATATTTATCGGTAAACTGGTTCGCATTACGTTCTGTAATTAATTAAATTGTTACTCAAACTGTTTCGTGATTGACGCACTGAATGAATGACTGACTGACTGATAGCTGCATATAGTCGTATGTATGTATGTATATGTATGTAATATCCACATAGCTAAGTATGCAAACACATATGGATATTTTGTGTGCGGCTGCACAAATAATAGATCGTGAGCGTTCGGATTGGATCTGATCGGTCGAGGAATTCGTTCGAAGTCGAATGATTGGATTCCGAAGCGCCGACACAAAGACCATTTGCGACTCACATTACTCGCCAATATGCATATTTTCCATCAGTAATGTGCAATGTAAATAAATAAAAACGATTCCGAAGCACATGTTTTGGAATAATGCAAGTGAGTTGGGAAATAAGTATTACTAAGAATAAGCCCCGACTTCGAACTTCAACGAAATCCAAATCAGGCAATTCAGTTCAAGCCAAGACCAAAACCCATTTTACATTTGTATATTTGTACACACATATGTATGTATGTACATATGTTCATTATAGGTATTTACTGTATTAAGCTGCGGGCAGTAGTTCTTCTACAGAGAGAACTCTGACTCATTTACATACTTACATATGTACATACATATGTTCCAATACACTTTAAAATGATGCAGGAACAGATTTGTATATGGGGTACTATTTAAAATTAATAAAATATATACATACATATAGTTGTATATCGCATATCGCAAGCAAATGAACTGGTTATGTTTTTGGAATGTCTATCATATTATAGATTTGGGAATCTTTTTGCAACAAAGGTCATATTAAATCAGATCGGTTATATAGGAATTTTAACTTCACTTTATTAGGGATGAATATCTAAAAAATCTTGTGAACGATATAAATGAAGCTGGACAAGGAAGACATTACTTCCTTCAGCAATTCCATTCCTTATGATTCCAGCTCCTTCGAACTCCATAAAAACAGTTTTTCAACTAGGAGTTCAACAGTGTAAATGGAGCTTCGAGCGATACTTTAGAAATGAAAGCGCCCTCATAATCAAGAAGCAAGAAACGGCGGCAAATAAAGAAATGCAAAACAAGCGACGGATGAGGCAGACGAAAGCGGAGACACTGAAATCTGCAACTGAGTGGATGAGTCACGCAATTAAACGGGGCACATTAATATGAAATGGCGAGAGTCAGCCATTTACTTATGTATGCATGTACGAGTACATACATACATATGTATGTATATGTATGTAAGTAAACTTTTATTGCTGATTACATGCAAAGTGACTGCTCGACTCTACGCTTTCTGGGAAACGACAGCAGAGACGCGAATCATACATACTATATGTACATAAATCGACAGCAGAATCGGGCATCAGACCCCAACAAGTGGCCGAAGTGGCCAGGCCTGCGCATATGAAGCCAGCCATTAGCAGCAGTATTCCTAATCAAAATTGTATTCCAAGAAATCGACAAACCCGAGTACAAATATCTGTCTATATATGTATGTGTGTAGTGCATGTTGGCAAAGGCAGCGACAGCGGCACTCAACCAACACAGTCCGTCAGTCAGTCAGTCAGTCACTTAGTCATTTGCCGTCGTCGTCGTCGTTGTTGCTGCTTGGGCGCATTTGAAAAATGAAACTAATTAGCGACCGCAGCGATTGCGAGCGACCGGCGGAGGAGCTCTGCCCGCTTCATGCACGTTTGCAATTCAATCAATTGGCAAATTTGCATATACATATGTATATGTATATGTTTGTATGTATGTGCTTCTCACTTTATTTGCATGTGTGTGTATACATGTATGTGTAACAAGTCCATTTAAGTCAATAGTGGCAACAAATTGGACAACAAGCAGCAGCAGCAGCAGCGGCAGCGGCAAGACAACTAAAAGCATGGCGTGTCCACTCAAATCTTAGCCCATTAGCTACTAAATCTATTACTTTTGTCGGCCCCGGCCACCGCTCTACTATAAGTACGTCCTGCCACGGCCCACAGTGCGTTTTATTAATAATTGTGTATGATATGATATGGCGACGCAAACGAGTTATAAACGAGTGGCCGAAATGCAGTCCAACAGCTTCCGTGCTGCTGCTCCAATTGGCTATGAAAATGTAATTTTAATTGCATTTTTTTGTGGCTTGCACCTTTAAATCCACACACACACGCGTATGGCTGATTGCTTTCAAAAACAAATATAATTTATATTCGTACACAAACATACGTACACGTATGTGTGCATGTATCACCTTTTTTTATTCATTTGTTGTTTCTTCCCGACATCAAATCAAATTGAATAAGCGCGGTCCATTACTCTGCCAGTGATTTTGCCAAATGACTTCATTTCATATCAATTAAGTTTATTGTGGCACTGTGTGCGAGTGTGTGTGTATGTGTGTGGCATTTTATTAAAGCGACACACCATATAAAAACGCACAAACAAACAAGCAACGTTACCCATGCCTTGCCCGCTTTTTATTTATCCGTTGAACGGACCTGATTCATGGGCTTAATTGCTTTGGAGCGTGCGCCGATCTGCAGCAAAAACTGCGACGAAAAGGTATGAAATTGAAATGAACATAAATCCATACCTACATACATACATATATGAACGGTGCAATCTCGATAGTTCCGACACTTAACTCTCATCAGTGGTCTTTCCATTTTGGGAACTTTGTATTTGAAAGTGTACTTTTGTTAATTAACGAGAAATGGTATGGCAAATCGAGACCCAAAACTCAAAAACACACTCCGCAATGTCAGACTATTTAATGCATATCTTAAGCTCATCTTAGAGTCAATTTATCTTTTGAATTATTTTCAGAAAATAATTTGCCATATTTTAAAAATATCAAAAAACAAACAAATCAGACTTATTTAACTCTACCCTTTATTTCATACAGTATTATTTAACATTAAATGATTTTATTTTATTACATTATATTCTAATTTCTTTTAAACAATAGCACCAATACAGCGTTCTCTTCGAATGCGTTTTTACAATATTCTTGTGGATTATTTACCGGAATTTTAGTTTTATTATGTTCCTTAATTTCTAAAAACGTCCAACGAAAGAATTGGCGGATTCTCAATCAATCAATTATCAACAAGCAACGGACAACATATTTTAATGAACATTAAGGAAATGTGTATAAAATAACATTACACCACCAACCACTGTGTCAACAGTCATTTTCTAAGGCATTATTATACATCATTTGCTTCAAAAAGATCAATTGAACGTTGGTGAAAAAAATATATAAGATAAAGGCGATTGGGATGATAGGTTATATCCAATGTTATGAAACATTTGATGAATTCGGAATACTAACTAAAAGGCAAACGAAAAATTACGATAAAGCTAAACATATTCACAGAGTAATATCTAGGCATAAGTAGTTTCAGGTTTCCACAGAGAGACACGTCGACAAATTCTGACGGAAGGAGACGCGTACACTCATAATAGTATCATATTGTGCCACTATGCGCATTTATTGGTCAATTTAGTAGCACATTAATGCAATTAGGTGTCTAGCATGTCGACAAAAATAGAAATTTTATGAGATTTTTATCAAGTGAACGCTTTGTCCCCAGCCTGAAGCAATCAATCTTAGATATCACATTACACACAAACCAAGCAAGCACTACAGCTAGATAGTTGTGATAACGATATGTGTGCGTGGTATGTGGAATTGCCTCATAAAAAAACATTAAATAATACATTAGTCTCAAAAGGGTAGAACAAACTACAACTGGTGTTCAGTTTTCATTTTAATATTCACTAACATCAAATTCAAATTGCCGATAAGTGGCGCGCAAGAAACTCTTATGCTGAAGCTTTCCAACACTGCTCGTACTTGCAAGAACAGCTGTTCGTCAGTTGCCATGTGCGGGCAGAATTGCGCGAGTTGCAGTAGATTTCTCAATAATTAAGTGTTGCTGAACGTGCTTCGCTAAATTGTTGTCGACATGAAACTATAAACAAAGTGAAATGTAGTCTCTCTCGTAGTTGTGGCAACCGGCGCGTTTGCTGTTGTTATTTCATTTGCTTTGCTTTTTATGTTTTACATTTTCGTTTGCAGAGCGTGTGCTTGAAAAAATCTAGCGAAGATACCGGCCGGTTTTCTTATTACAACTGCAAATACCAGACCAAAGTAGCAGTAGCAATATGGACAATCTTGATATCAATAAGATTTGCGAGGACCTACAGGCCAGCGATCGACGAGTGAAAACCACTGCGTTGCAGAAGCTACGCGAAGAATGCGTCAATAGTGGCGCAGCGTTGAGCGCCGACGCACTGGCTGCCCATTTTGATGGACTATATTTGCACCTTCTCAAGTGCTATGCGGATCGCTTTGAAAGCGTCCGTGATGAGGCTGTTCGCGTCGTTAGCGCGTTTCTTGACCGGTTGCCGCCCACGGACTTCCATTTGCTGAACGTGGTGGCCACGCTGAACGATCGCATGGGCCAGACGGAGACGGTCGAGGGCAGTGAGGAGATTCGCTTGCTTTATATTGAACAACTGCATGTACTGGTTCGGCAATATGCACTAATGGGCAATGTACACGCCTTTAGGGAGTGCTATGTACAGGTGGTGGGCGTGCTGGTTAAGTCCATCCGAGACTCGTATCCGGCGGTCCAGCGTGAGGCATGCGGCACTTTGGTGGACTTAGCACGCGTGGCCGATGCCTTCGAACTGCAGGAGTTTACGGAGCCACTAGCTTTGGCGCTCTACGGAATGCTGAATCACAAACATGCGAAAGCTCGTATTTCAGCCGTGGAGGCGCTGGGACGTGTCGCGTTGCACATGAATGCCAGTGGGGACGGATTACGTCGACTAATAATGGAAGTGTCGCCGCTGCTGATGGACAGCATGCCTCTGGTGCGACGTGAGTGTGGCCAGATGGGTGTACTAATGTTGCTCGAGCTGATGGATCGATACTCGTACTTTGAACGCATCTTGCCGCTAGTTCTGTGCTGCCTGAAAGATGATTCGCCAGATGTGGTGGCCTACATTCGCCCACTGTGGGAGAAGTGTGGCAAGTTGTATTATGATGAGAACGAAGCGGAGCTCTCACAAGTGGCGGCTGCCGATCTACCCGTCGATAATTACCCGGCAGGTGTGCAGCGACCCACGCTAGGCTGCCGTGGTCTTGTCCAACGATCGATCCGTCTTCTCAAGCTGATAACACGGGAGTCCGGCGACTGGAAAGACAATGTGCGCATTCACTCGCTTAAGCTTTTCTACCAATTTGTGCTTCATGCAGAGGCGGCCATGACCGCCAAATTCTTCGAGGTCTACCCGGATGTGGCACATGCCTGCGTCGATGCGGAGGCACTTGTAAGGGCGGAGGCGAAAAAGGTAGCCGATCTGATGGGCCGTCTTTTGTTCTACGACGACTGGATTGAAAATGGCCTCGATGGTTTGGTGCGCAATGCACGCGAGTCTTATCTAACGTGCTTTTTCTACATGTTTAGCGCATCTCTGGGTGGAAACTTCGAGCAGTTGCTCCGCTTGAGCAAACTGCTTCGCTCAAGCGACTATTCGCACACGCTGAAGCCTAGATTTCAGCTTTATATAATCAAAATGCTGGAGACTTTACTGGACAAGTCAGCTCAGGTGACAGCCACGCTGGAGCAACTGCTTGAACTGTACGAATATATATACGTGGCCGGAATGAAGGTTATGGCTCTATCCTATTCGCTCACAGGCAGTCACAACGAGGATGTAAACCGTGGGCAACTGCTCATCGAACGAGTTGTTAAACTGGAGAACAGCACGGTGGCACTGTTGCATGAACGACTCTTTGCGCTTGTTCTGGATGATATAGAGAATCTGGACGCTGCCCTTGAGGATAATGCTGAACCAGTATTGCTCCTTGACGGGCTCATAAATCTGTGTCATATCCGTGCTGCGTACTTGCCGGCGCTCATCGCCAAGGTGCAGATTGTTTTTGCGAATTGCTGTGACAGCGCTCAGGTGCGAATCTTCAGCAGCCTCTCGATTGCAGCTTTGCTTTGGTCCGATACGGTTTCATGCGAGCGGGAACAGAGCACCCAGCTCCTGTCCAATTTTGTGAACGAAATTATTGAACCGTACCTCAGCTGGCAAGCCGGTGCTAGCGCCGAGGCTATGCGTTCTCTGGCCATGGCCACTCTGTGTGCCCTTTCCCAAGGTGCTGGGGAAGAGATGCGTGAAGTTCTACCCTCGCTGGCTAAGCTAATGCCCAGCTTGCTGGAGGACCGCAACGTGACGACGCGACACTACGCAGTCAAGACAATGTGCTATTTTCAAAATATGGGTGTAGAAGACCTAAAACCACTTGCCTATGCTACGCTTCAACGATTGGACGATCCCTCCTCGGGTATTCGACTTATGGCGGCCACTGCCGTTGGAAAACTGAAGCCCGTTTTCAAGGCGGATACGAATGCTGAAAAGGAAGTCAAGTTTGAACTGGAGGTTTGGGAGGCCTTTATTAAACGAGCCATGGATTTGTTGTTACTGCACTACGAGAGTCCAGAAAAGGAGGTGCGTGCGGTAGCCGAAAGAACTCTGAAGCAACTGGCAAAAGCACATCCGGATTGCTGGGAGGAGCGTTATCAGCGTGCCCTTGCCATGGTTCAGCAAAAAGACCAACTAGGCGATCTTTACGCAAAGTTAAGCATCCAAACCTGCGAGAAGGAGGACTAACTCTTTAAGGCGTAGCCACTAGTCTAGTTGATCGCACAAAAAAGCACCTAAATTCTCATTACATTACCTTATGTACTTAGTTTTTATGTATTATAAACAGTTTCGATTTAATTAAATAATATTTCGATTGTGGCATTTATTTGGTCAAGAACTTATTTCTGTAAATGTTTTCATCTTCTCAATTATCGACTTATATAGACAATAGAACGCACATTTTGTGAATGAATATTTAAAAATTAGTCATTAAACAACGTTTTTTAAACCAAGGCATAACTAGCATTTTGTTATTATGGAAAGAGCATAAAAGTAGGGGGAAGTCATCTGAAACCCCAAATTTCTAACTTTATATCTTAAAGCTTAATTGAATCCAGACTGTCTATCCATGAGTTGCTAATTCCTTTAATAATGGATTCATCTAAAAATCTCAACTCAGTATAAATTATTAGTAGACCTGCCAGAAGGGGGAAACAATTTAACTTTTCAGGGGGAAAGACATATTTATCTCCCCCTCCTATATTGTAAACAAGCTTTGAAGACCGTTTCCCCCCTTTGGTGTTTGCATTTTCCAAAACCGCTTCCTAGTGCTCACCTACACTGTAAAACAAATAAAAAATCTAAAGTCGGGTGTCCCGACTTTGAAATACTCTGTACATATGTTTAGAATAATTGTAGAAATTTAAAAAATTAAATTACAAAAACAATTTTGATAGATTTTACCTCTCTTGGTATTCGGTATACAGAGTATTATTAAAAACTTGTGTCCAAATTTTAGCTTCCTAACTTTTACTGTGCGTTGACCGCCAATCAGTCAGACAGTGAGGACAAATAATTTTATAAGTAAGGAGATGAATAGCCGGTTACATTAGTTAGCTTATATTGTAAATGCTATTTAGTTCATCGCTTTAATTCATATAATGTACAAGTAGTAGTTCGTAAGATCAACTACGATAATTGCGATATCTATATGTGAATGAATTGCTGTAGAAAATAAATTTGAATTAAATTGAAACATTTATACTTCTACAAGTATGTACCCATAGAGCACTTTATGGGAATGGGTCTAGAAAAAAGTACATTGAATAAATCTGCCAACATCAAAAATAGAATGGAAAGTGCAACAAATATTTATGAAACGAAAAAACTCTGATTGATTTTATGCACATAAGCCCCTCGGCCCCTTATCCCACTAGCCACCCGGCTATATCACAAATTGATTTTGTTGCCGCGCTTCGATTTCAATTTGTGATGCGCCCCAGAAGGACGCAACAATTGCACAAAAAGCAGCAACAACAAAAACAATAATAATAAAAATAAAAGCATCTACAGCACAAGCAAATAAGCTGCATGTGCATGCAGCACATATGCATTTACAGTTCATTGAAAATGAATTGTTTAATTAAACTACAATTTTAATATACGCGAGTGTATTTGCATGCAACCAGCATGCAGACACTCAGTTTACGAGGGGGGGCTGACCAGACGAAAGGATGAGGCAGAGCCAAAGCCAAAGCACATGCAACGCTGCGCACAGTTAACGGCTGGCTGGATGACTGGTTGGGTGGCTGATGCCCAGACGGACGCCCCTTAATCCTTTTGGCAAATTTGTAGCGATGCGTGCCGTTATTAGCATTTTGCCATTGCCCGGGTGCGGGTGAAATGTGAGAGGCGGAGTGTTATGAGGGTGAGCGGGGATGGGGTGGCGTTTGGGGTTTGCGGTCTGTGTGGCAGCCATTTAATGCACAAAAAGCGTTGCATAATTTTGTGCGCTTAATTGTTGCAAATTACATTTGCTGCATATTGAAACAGGTTTAAGCTGCGTTTGATTGGCCACACACGATTTAAATATACAGTCACAGCCATCAATACAACACACGCACACACACAATCATGAATAGGAGAATACATACTCACAAATTAGTTGCTATAGGCGGTGGCAACATGACGTATGTGTGATGTGTATGTATATGTCGCATCATCAGCTTGTTGACCCAAATTTAAACCGTCGACTAACAGCAACAACATTGCACAACTAATTTGTCGCAATTGCAAAAAGTTTGCAGCAAAGTACATCTGTGTCTGCGAGGTGTGTGTGTGTGTGTGCAAATCATTTTAAAACAATTTGTCAAATTACGCAAAATGTACAAGTTTCTAATTAAATGGTACACAGTTAGCGTCAAGAGACAGCGAATCTTTGCACTGAGAAACAAGCTTGAAGTTAAAGTAGTGTTCGTTTTTTCGATCTGTATAGAATACTTTTCGTTTCAAAGTTTGCAATTGAACTGAATGGGAAAAAAGAATGGAATGCTTGTTAGTTACTGTTAGTTACTGTTCAGCATAACTATTGTTAAACAATTTATTAACAATTTTTTGGTCAATAAAATTATAGTAAATACAATTTTGAATTATTTTTTGCATCACTATTGACCGAGAAATACTCAGTGTTGGTGTAAAATAAGATGACTCCATATACTTATATATGAATGCAATTATATCAGAAGGGGCTTTAGAAACACTATTCTAGGGTCTATACCCTACGTGTACAAGCTATTGTTTTTTGCAATGAAATCACATTAACATACATTAGTGCTTATAGAGCCTTAAATGTAATCTCTACATATGGTCTACCCGCAACTGGTGTTAAAGTTGGGTGAATAAATCCGCGAGTTATAGGAGTATTGAAAAAATTACTAATTACTATACAGTTTATAGTTTATCTGATTTTGTATTTGTAAACCCTAAATATCCAAGAATCATTTGTTCGCTTCATTTTTCTACAGACAAAATAAATTTGTTCTGTGGATAGGACTCTTTACTTATAGCAACAATGAAGAGAACTCACAGAAAATACTTCCACACATACACGTTTACGCCCAATTGTCGGCCAAAGAGCGAGCAACTGCCTTCTCGTCTATTTTTCGAGCCCCTGCAGTACGATAACTTCTGCTCGACGTGTCAGAGCCTTTAACTGGCGAGCTAATAAGGAAATTATCATTGATAATAGAGCTTAAATAACCCCTTCCTTTATAAATTCGTCCTTAAAGAATTACATTTTAATCGACCAGGATAACACGTTTCTAATATATTTAGCATCACATTTTTAGGCTTTAATCTTTCATCTTTACTTATAATTTACTAGTTTCTGGAATGCGAGAATTATTTAGGAACTTCAATGCTGGTTGCTGCAATAACTAAGCCGTAGTTGCAAATTACTAGTATGCCGTATATATTTCTTAGCTTTCCTTTCTAATATAGTCTAATATAGTATACTGTCTAAATAGTTTCAATTGCAAGCGAGTCTTATCTATTTTATTGCAAATACGAGTATCATCCAACCCTGTAATTTGCCAAAAATGGGCTAAAAACATAAACCAAGTCAGGTAACGGGTGATTAGGGGGCATGGGCAACTGTGCAAGCACAGGGTCCTGAAGGGTCGTGGCTCATGTTGTATGACTGCTAAATGACTTGCTGTAAATAAATTATACATATATACTCCCTGCCTCTCATTCACGCATTATTATATTTGTATCCTTGCTGTTGTGTGGCAAAGGCATAGAAAAGGTTTGAAATACTCCAACCCTGCCCTACTGCTCACTTAATTCTTTTTGCCGTTTCTATCTACCGGGACCACAATTAATAATACTCATATTTTGCGCATTTGCTGCTGCTGCTGCTGTTGTTGATGGTGGCTTTATTGTTAGCCACCACTGCCCAACAAATGCCCTTGCCATTCGTATATTTATGAATGAAAATAAATAAAACTCCGATTCCAGTGAGTCCGTAAAAGTGGGAAAAGAAGCAAAATATATAAATTTAATTAACTGTGCTGTAAAGTGCAACCAAGCTAAATAAAAATGGATTCACTATGCAGACGGCAGTCATTCAAGCAGCCAAACAGTCTGTCAAGTAGTCAGTCAAACACAAGTGCCAGGCACAATCATGCGTAAGTGGATGCTGGTTGGGGGGGGGGGGAGAGGGCAAGAGCGCCGACATTGTTGCTGCTGGAGCTCATTAAACTAATTATGCCGAACTCAAACTTCAAAGACAGACACTGGAGGGGCAGCGTGGAGAATGGCAACAAGATAGAGAGAAGGAAGAAGAGAGCGCGGACGCACATCCATATACAGAATTACAAATGCTAGAGTGGCCTCCCACAGTCGTCAGCTTAATTAATCCTTTTGAAGCAACCAGCAAGAGAGAGAAAGAGCGAGAGAGAGAGAGAGAGAGAGACAAATGCAGGCAGACGAGCAGCAGAGAGACACACAGGGAGCATCTGAGCAAGGCAAATAAACAGCTATAATACAGTGAGAATCTGCCCTGCCCGCTAGTCAGTCTGACAAGGAAGATGCCGCACAAATTAAATGCTACAATAATCCAATGCCATTTCGAAATCATTCGACTGCAGCACGACCCTGGACACCCCCTTTTCACTTTTCCCTCATTCCTCACCCACCCATTGCCGTTGCTGAAGGACACAGCACGACAACGAGCGCACGAAACTTTGCCAACTCGCGTCGACTTTTGCCGCAATTGAATTTTGTTAGCCAAAAAAAAAAAGGCGAAGAAAAACCGCACGCTGCTTTGCGTTCTCAGGCGCCTGCCCCGCTGCCCTTCGCTTCAGCTACAGGATCTGCTCTTGGTGCAATTTGAAAATTACTTTCATTACATTTAAAAAGTCATTAAAATTTCACATCAACAACTTATTTGGCATGGCATTTAATTTACCCCCAGTTCACAGGATCCTTTTAGGCGCCAGTTGTCGTTTATTGCTTTCGCTTCTCAGTTTTGTGGAAGTGCGCAAAGCGAAAAACCTGAAAGGTAGCTGCCTTCCCTTATTTTTTGTACACATGCTTAGTCCTTTTGCTTCTCCTTCGGCTTGAGCGGTAATATGAAATGTTTGCACTGCAGACTGCAGCAAATGAGGCGAGCTCTAAATAACCTACATACATAACTTTAACTTGATACGTATGCATATAAAGTATATTGAGACCGTACCTTTATGTTTCCAAGAAAATTCTATCAATACAAAAATCTTATGGGCGGGCTAAGTAACTTATTTGTGTGTCGATAAATTATATTATTTTCTATTTTTAAAAAAGGTATTTCAACTTCCAAAGTGAGGATTATAAGACAGTCCCAGGCAGGAATATTTGCCAT